ACAAATCATGCGAAGATTTAGATTACAGGTTATTTATAGACAAACACTGTGTCAAGAGTATGACTTTCAATAAATGAACTGCCTCTCCTTAAATCAATCATATTGAAATACAGCTCAAACATTTCTGTGCCTTTTATAAATTGGGGAATAAAAAATTGAGAAAGTGGCTCGTGAGCTTTACACAAGGGCAAGTAGGTGTTCTCGCAAGAGGCCCGCCGTGTGTGTTGAGAAAAAGGGTCTATATGTAATGAGTGATTATACCCATTTATTGGTTGTAAAGTAGATGGAATTCTTTCTTGTCGGTGTCTTAGCAAGAAAATTTTTGAGATAAAATGTCCCTTTTCATCAAAACATGATTATGCATCCCGAAGAGGTTGCTGTTCGGTTCTTGATAAAATGTCTTTTGTTACCGAGAAATCGGAAAATTATCACCAGATGCAAGGTCAGATGGGTCTTTTTGGTATTCCACATTGTGATCTTGTCATTATACAGAAAAAGGTATCCATGTTTCACAACTTCAATTTAATGAAACATTTTTCAGAGATATGATAATGACAATGAATGGGGTTTTTTTATCATTATTTATTTCAACAGTTGTTGACAGATGTATCAAATACGGAATGAGAATTAAAATGTACTGAACAATTTTTCACAGTTCCAGTAAAATAAGCACAAGTATTATTATAAATATCTTGACCGTAATTTTAAAAAGTATAACAAGGATCAAGATCACTTCCACAGCATATTATGATATCATCGATATGCCCTTCAAATAATTTTATATACAGTTATCATTGAAAAAAAAATCGACACAAATTTTATAATTTTTTCCATTCCTTATACTCAATGTGCATATGCCGTGTTATTAGTAAGAACAAATAAAACACTATTTATTATGTTTATTCTTAAGACTATTATGATCATCTACATGTAATTGAGACATGTCGATGACACTGTGATTTGTTGTAGAAATATAAAAATACATTATAAGTTTTAATAACTTTACACCAAAGAACTATATGCGGTATATTGCATATGTTTGCCCCCACAAAAGTCAAATTTTGAAAACTTCCTGAAATGTGCTGAATTCAATAAATTGTACGAGAAATATAAGTTAACAGAAAATATTATAGTTCCAGAGCAGTGTATTCACAATTTCTGTTTTTATGACGTCACAAACTAGTCCGATTTTATATCCTTTTTCAGAAAGAGGACAAAATGGACAAAATTTCAACAATTTAAGCTTTAGAATTTATAGAGCGCATGTGTGTTCAGGAACAATATTGACATATTTCATTGATATTATCATTCTACACATTATATCAAAATTTTAATCCTGAACACACGTGCGCTCGGTGACTTTTACTCAAAATATCGACGAAAAATGTACATTTTTCTGTAGAATTCATGAAAAACTGCAATTTACGTCAAATTTGTGACGTCATTACGTACATATGACGTCATTACTTATGAAATTATTCAGTGCTTTGAAGTCAGCATATACTCCCCTGTTTAAGGACTTAATTAAATATTACTCCATCAAAGTTTGATTTTGGGGGGCAAATGTTGGTTAATACCGCATATAGTTCTTTATTTGAAATCTGTGGCTAGCAAGAAAAAAAAAAATATTTGATTATCTGAAACAAACTATCAACTGCAATATTAGAGGCTAGATTTTCTCTACCAAATATTCCCAGTACTTATCTGGCATACATTTCATACATGATACATTATTTCAATAGCTGGTGGTATAAATTGCATAAAGCTGCACACAAGCATACTATCTGATCAATGATGGGCTTCAATTTAAGGGGTATAACACCCTGCAAAGTGTTGAAGCATTTAAGTTGACCAACTGTCCTCTCTACATGTATTCTTGCTCTGGCTAAGTGTCTTGTTTTTGATACAGCTAAACCCGAGAGTTGTATGTTATTGTTAAAAGCAAAGGGGGGAATGTTTAATGTAGCTCCTTTTAGAGCCAGGTTCCCTCTTATCAAAGAGCCTCAGTCTGCCATTATGTCATCTCCTCTTTAGATTTATCCTGTTGGGGTAATTGCAATTAATGACTTAAGAGTATTGTGGTGCTTATAAGATGACCAAGTAATTCTGTATGAGGAAGGTATACTGGGATTTTTAATAAAAAAACTGTGCAGTCAATAATACACCTTTGGCTGGGGAAATATTTAAAAAAAAACTGTAATTTTTGTGCAGTTTGATTTCTACTTGGCCATGAAATTAAAATTTTAAGTTCCAATGAAAGAAAAAATGTCCATGTGAAAAAAAATTAAACTGACAGTTCCAGCCTGTACATCAAAGATAGCACACAAAGTTTTTGTATCTATTCCTCTTCTGAGACGCATTAGGGTCATCACCATTTCTTCACGAACAGATAATTATCTCTTTGGCCCTCTCCTTTTCATCTAAAAATTGTATATATATATATATTTTTAAAAAGCTATAAATGTCAGTAACAATAAATACTTAATTTTATGTTTAAAACTTAAATCTATTTTTTCTGTGAACCATTTGCAAATTTTGAATACAGTATTATAAATTTATGTAAATACTTGAAAATCCTATGAATCCTTTGATCTGGATGATCACATAAGGCAAGAATGTACACCTATATCCATAGGACTTATATTATTAGTATTTTAAGATAGAAGCAATAATATGTTTACCTCATTGTTTTCCAAGTAAATTTCCATTCCCCTCCAGTACAAAAATCTGGCAGCTTTGTCTTTAAGCGAATTTAGCAACAGAAAGAAAATGCCAAGAGAGTCCTGTTATAATATTCATGGACATAAATTATTGTGAAAATTATATCAAAAAATTCTAATTTTTACAAGTACATCATTGTAATAGACTGCTTGCTGCTAAATGAATAGTTTAAGATTTACTGAATTAAAATTAAATAAAAATAGTTTATGACATACCACTGTAAACTTTACAGGACACATCATCCTTGAGAACATCATTCATGACGTGGCTTCATCTCGTACTGCCTTTGTTCTTCAGATGTATATCATCATAATTATGCTGAAAAATCTTCTAATGTAAAATCAGTCTGACACTGGATACTGGAAGTGGAAACAGCATTTTATATTATTGCTTTTGAGCAATATAAATGGTCAACTTTTAAATAAGAAAAAAAAATGGCTCAAGTAAATTTTACCACTAGATTAAAACCAACTAACCCCAAAAATCTATAGATTATCAATATATTATACCTTTGGGAATGTCATCCTTTCCTTCTATTACCGGCAACACTTCCACATCTTCAATATGTATTTGTAGTACATGTACATCACAGTCAGCACTGCTTTGAATTCCCTCAACTCTCCATGGGCCCCCACATCCCAGCAAATTACCTCTGATAAACAGAAATGTCATTTAATGGATGAATTCTAAATTAAACCAAATACATAACGATAACAATACATATCAATTTTAATTTTAGCTGCAGATCTGTAGCTCTCCGAAAAAATATATATATTGATAGACCGGTGAGCTACAGTGCCACCCATTGAAAAAACTGTATATTTATTGTGCAAAATAAAGTGCACTCAATTCTTGATTAATCTTTCCAAATTCTTACCTCAATTGCAGAAAATGGAAGATTTAAAAAAAAATTACTCTCTCCTTTATCAAGTTCTCTCGTAGTTGACATCTGAACGAAGCATATTGGACCGAATTATCTTTGAAACCAAAATGGCAGTATAAATAAGCAAAATGTCGGATGATTGCAATATCAGGGCCAGGAGGACTATATTAACAACAATTATGAGGAATGTTTTGTTGTGGAAAGAGTCAAAGGATATGTTAGAAACACACGGTTAGTAATATTTTGAGATTACAGCTTTAAAAACATGGAGAAATAAATTGAGAACCGAGCGCATTTTTTTGTGCGCAATAAATATACATTTTTTTCAATGGGTGGCTCTGTAGCTCTCTGGTCTATCAATAATTTTTCTTCAGAGAGCTACCAATCTGCAGCTATTTTAATTTATAACAAGTGATACATGTACTTGTATAAACTTATCACAATGATGATTTAGATCATATTGCACAGGTGCTTGAGGACAGGACTCCCCCACCCCCCTTCCATATAGACCCCTGGGCTTTTTCGATTTTTTTTCTTATAAAAAATCTTTCATTGACATATTTGTGATAAAATCTATACCAGCAAATCGAAAAATTACCCAAAACAAATGTTCTATTATTAAATCAACCCTACATTCTATATAAAATAAAAATAAGAGGGCAGATATTTTTATAAAATGTTCTGTAAGTTTACGCAAATTTTCTGAATTGATAGGTTAGATTACATCACAAATGTGTCTTCCATATATAATGTATATGAAAAAAGTCTAACAGGCCCGGGGGTCCATATTGGGGGGGGGGGGGTCCCTGGCCTCAAGCACCTGTGTCTTATTGTACCTTTTTTTCTTTTCCTGTGGCCCATTTCCATTTTCAACTCTTGACAACACTCGTCTCTTTTTTCCCTGTGTGCCCTCTCCAGATCAAACGATGTATCGGTGGCTGGCAATGGGTCAGGGTGATGCTCTGATGGCCTTTCAGAGACAAAGTGTATGTCCGATTGTAGACTTGTTTACATTAGCTACGGAGATTTTTTTTTTGCTACCGCACAGTTTACCCCACCTCTGGCATTTATAATGGGAGAACGGTTTCGGAAAGGCAATCCAGGTTATACCAGTTATGTACTCTCTTTCTGCATATCAGGAATCATTTTTACACGTCCCACAACAACATTATTTAACCATACTCGGACTAACGTAATGTCTGGTATCGCTTACAGCATTGAAAATTATGACGTCAGGGCTCCTTATATCATGTATAATTGGAAAATCGACTAGGTCTTTTTGCAGAATATGGCAAATAAAAGTCAAAGTTTATAAAAAAAATTATTCAGAAAATCACTTAATTGACGCTGATTAGATACTTCATTTATTTGTCACAGTACCCATTATTGCCGAAAAATACCACATTTTTCTGTGTCATGTCCAAAATATAAGTTTATTTAAAATAATTTCTATATGTATCTCTGCAATGTTCATTCACTTAACATGAGATATATTTTTCATTTGAAACAAGTCCATCTCCACTTACTTTCGGGCTAAAAATAAACCCCGTCCATGACCTTCGATAAACAGGAAGTAGAGTACCCATTATTGCCGCTTATATCTTTTCCTCATTATTCACCAACTAATCGCTAAATAAACCAACTATTTTTAAATTCATGACAAAAAAAGACGGAAAAATGTCTCCAATGTAAAATTATTTAATTAGAAACGCAATTTTAATGTTTTATTTTAATTTTTGGTGACCTATTTTTTTTTCGATGTTGTTACGACCTCGTGTGTAAAAATAAACATGGAGAAACATGTGCTTTGCAGCTTTATCGGAACTGACAATGTCCGCAGCGATATTTTTCCAAGTGAACTCAGTATTATGACAGATAACAAGAAGAGAAGTATATGCCTCATCGGCTGCAGAGCTTTTGGAAACACGTTTTAACCAGTTTTTGCGTATATTAATTTTGCTTGTGAACCAGCCTTCAATTACAGTATTCCTTCCAACATGGTGGGCGTAGCTCCGTGGTTAAGCCGAGAGGCTTGAGCCCCATTGCGTACTTCCACAACGACATACATGCCAACTTTCCCGATTTAGGCGGGATCCTCCCGATTTTACCCTTTCATCCCGCTTTCCCGATCGGGAAAGAAAAATTGCCCTAATTTCCCGATTTGAAAAAATCACCAAAATTTCCGATTATAAAAGATTCCCTACCGCTGAATTTTGACAATCGGGATAACAATGTTAAACTTGTTTATTCAATGCACTCAGAAAAGTTTCATTGTTTATTTAACAATGTTAATTAGCCACAGGAAATCACTTCACGCTTGAGCGCACGCAGTTGTCCAGGTACAAGTAGCTTATAGCTTGGGGCAATTAGGGGATTATCTTGTCAGTTTTAAAGGGGTATGCAAGGTGAAACACATAGATTAACGTGTTAATTGTTAGTAATTTTATTAAAAACATAAATTAAAGACAATGAAATACTAATCAAACTATAAAATCGGAATCCAAAGAGATCGTTTTTTGAAAACGAAAGTAGAAAACTACAAAGCATAGCTGCTGATTTTATCAACCTATAATGAAAAATATTGTAAAGTTTGCAAGTTAAAATATTATGAAATTAAGGTGAAACAATCAAGTGTATGTCAATTAGAATTTCTTTTCCCTTCCTTCTCCCAAAAGTAATATTTTTTAGGTATGTGCATGACTTAAGGAAATACCCACATTTCCTGTCATCAAGCCTGACAAATTTCATGACTGTAAAAAAAATAATTCTCCTTTGGATAGGTGATATGAATTTCAGTAAATTTAATACCTTATTAGAATTTCTAATAAGTTGAACGATTGCAGTGAATGGATGTCACTGGTCAGTGTCATCTTGATATTTTTTAATGATCTGAAGTATTGATATTATGTTTTTCATGTACATTAAAAAATATATACAGAAAAAATCCCAGCCACACCCCCACGCACCTGCACCTGATATAATGCACCCAAACTGCAAGTTTGGAGGTTTTGTATTGTGGTGTCACTTCTTCAGCGAGGTTATGTTACTTGGATGTTTTTTAATAATAATAACTAATATGAAGTGTTGTTGAATTAGGTATGATTTTTTTTGTTATATTTTTATGAAACAAATCACTTAGGTCTACCTCTCCCCCATCCCAACCATTATGCAACAATCGCATGCAATGAAGGAAATCTTTAAGAAACTATCAACCTTGAAGAAAATTAACTTGGCAACTGAGAGTCAGGTTTATGTGGAATCAGTGAAGGTTTAATTATTTACTTTATACGTGTTCAAGAATTTATCATGATTCTTTATATTTTTTAGAAGGTCCTTTTCATGTGAATTCAGAAGTTTTCGGAATAAGACCAGTGTTATAAGACTAGTTGGTGCTTTCCAGAACATACACACAAGATGGCAAAGTATGTTGTGACTGTCAAGAGGAGTTTCTTTGAGGAAGATGAGAGATTGCAAAGGTATAAAGGTACCATTTAAAAAATAATTATGACATCCTGTGTTTTCGGTCAATATCATTTGCCATGAGTCCTTATAACCACATATTGACCTTTATGAAGTCCATAACTGTATAATATTAACTCGCAAGGCCGTAACTACCATCGAGGCAAGTGAGGCAAATGCCTCACTAATTTTTTAGAGTTTTTTGAAAAGTGAAAAAGTTTTACATTGTATTTATATGTGTCTTCGTGCTAAATTAATATTTTCAACTTTGATTTCCATTTCTGTAAATCCTTCATCTCACCAGGTGCCTCATTTTCATTTCGAGCACATGTATAATTTAATTCAAAATGTTTCTCTTGTAAATTGTTCAATTATTTAATTAACACCCATTCTAAGAATTTCTCATTCATATTGAAACACTTGCCGATGGAAAGCTGCAAGTTTTAAATCTGTACTGGGCTTTCAGGTTCACTGAAGATGATTGAACAGTGAGAGGTCTTTTTTGTGCCATCACTTACTGTGACATAGTATCTCGGTTTTTACGGCCTCATCCGAAGAACCTGTCTCTACATCCTGCAGTGGGATTCGAACCGTGATGTAAGGATCAATTCCTTAGTCTGCGACTTTAGAGCATACGCTCTAACCACTGTGCCATTCAAAACGTAAAAACTTTTTAAGATTAAATCTTTTATTTTCTAATACCCAGGTTTCAGGACCTCCTTCCCCTTGGAAACCTCAATAACTGGTCATGAGGTACTACCCTTGCCCCATATGAGACTAGGAATACACAACACCCTTGCCTCACTAAAAATTTGAGCCTAGTTACGGCCTTGAACTCGGAAAGGTTCTATGAATCTGTCAAGTAGAAGATTTGTATTTTCTGTTACAATTGTGTTTAAAGATATTTATTATTTAAAGTTCTTAACAACTAATCTTCAGTATGTACTGTTAACGAATGTTTGAAATATTTTTAACAGTGTTTGAAACTCGCTGTAAAATTAGCTAGACATGAAGGGCTGACTGCTAGTGAAAGTTGTCAGCCCTACCAAAAATGCAATAGCCTGAAAAAAAATTGTCTTTTATAATTTGGTATTAGCAATAATGTGAATGGGGCCAGCTCACCATACATTCGATCTCGAACATGTAGACTGATGAATTCTACCAGTTTGCTTGTTACACTTTGCAACCAGTAATACTAGTTGAGTTTAGAGAGTTTCATCAAATATCTAAATTTTAATTTAAGGAAAAATTTTACATATCCAGCCGGGCGTAACTACGTTCAAATCTGTTCGCCCATGACAAAATCTATGTGTCTCGGGCGGTCGGGTGCACAGTTATTTCAAACACTGTTTTAGCAAAAAAAAAAATGGAATTTTTATAACTTTAATCATTAATCAAATAAAAATAACTTATTTGTTTGTTTATTTATTTTGGATTACTGTTCTATATCCCAAATCTGTTTTGCTTTTTTAGGCACATATATCAAGCACTTGTCCTCGCTTTGCCTTGCCAATGACCAAAAAAATGGTTGTCAATGACTACAGTATCTGAAGATTTTTTAAGGAGTTGAATGTCATACATTCCTCTGCCTATGGCTGCTAAATTAAAGCTTGACAGTTTTATGTGAAGAATTAAAAAAAATATATAGGTGTATGTTAAGAAATGTTGTAACTATAAATGAAAGTAACTTTTCTCTATTTTCATCTAGGTTAAAAAATGTTTCCATAAATGTACATTGAGTTGATTGAAATCATTTGCTTCTAAAATTGTGGAAAGTATGTGTCCATTGTATAAACAAGAGGCCCATGGGCCACATCGCTCACCTGAGAAGCTTTGACCATTCTGTTCTTTACCAGATTTCACCCTTGTTATACATAATGCATTCCCACCCTATCCCACTGATCATAATTTAGACATTTTGAAATCTACAATACCCCATGATCCTTCCATGGGCACATATGTTTCTGCTTTTTTGGCCCAGTGGTTCCTGAGAAGAAGATTTTCAAAGATTTTTCCTATATATTTCCATGTAAAACTTTGATTTCCTATAATGGCCCCGCCCTTCCCCCGGGGGTCATGATTCCTACAATTTAGAATTTACACTACCCCAGAATGCTTCCACATAAGCTTCACTTTTTCTGGCCCAGTGGTTCTTGAGAAGAAAATTTTCAAAGATTTTTCCTATATATTTCTATGTAAAACTTTGATTCCCCATTGTGGCCCCACCCTTCCCCCGGGGGTCATTATTTGAACAATTTAGAATCTACATTATACCAGGATGCTTCCACATAAGTTTCAGCTTTTCTGGCCCAGTGGTTCTTGAGAAAAAGATTTTCAAAGATTTTTCCTATATATTTCCATGTAAAAATTTGATTCCCCATTGTGGCCCCGCCCTTCCCCTGGGGGTCATGATTTGAACAATTTAGAATCTACACTATACCAGGATGCTTCCATATAAGTTTCAGCTTTTCTGGCCCAGTGGTTCTTGAGAAGAAGATTTTCAAAGATTTTTCCTATATATTTCTATATAAAACTTTGATTCCCCATTGTGGCCCCGCCCTTCCCCCGGGGGTCATGATTTGAACAATTTAGAATCTACACTAACCCAGGATGCTTCCACGTAACTTTCAGCTTTACTGGCCCAGTGGTTCTTGAGAAGAAGATTTTTTAATGACCCCACCCTATTTTTGTCTTTTCTTGATTATCTCCCCGTGCGAGGGGATATGTCCCTTCATTTTAACAATTTAAATTCCCCTTCACCCAAGGATGCTTTGTACAAAGTTTGGTCAAAATTGGCCCAGTGGTTCTTGAGAAGAAGTCGAAAATGTGAAAAGTTTACAGACAGACGGACAGACGGACGGACGACGGACAAAATGTGATCAGAAAAGCTCACTTGAGCCTTCGGCTCAGGTGAGCTAAAAATTAAGGCAGTCTTTTCAATAGTTATTTAAGGAATAACTGTCAAGTTAGTAGAGTATGCCGGGGCATCAATGATAGTTGAAAATGTGGGATAATTTGCATAACAAGTGAAGCTAACTAACTAGACAGTGATTCCTTATATTTCCTTTTCATTGTGATATAAAATTGTAAATTTTAAATTTAGATTTTAAAGATATAAACAAATAGATTCAATTTACACGAGGCCTCCCATGTCAATTTCAGTAGTCCTCACCCACTGACGTCAATGACAAAGATAGCCACACGAGATTTACATGCCTATTAGGACCTCCTTAGTGTCAGACACAAAGACAGAGGCATGAGATGGAAATATTTGAATGTTAATACTAGCCTAAGGTACCTTACGATTGTTGATGTACAGATACACAAGTATCATTTTGCAATGCTTGATACAGAATTTGGATTTAGGCATTTACTATCTATGTCGATTCAACAAAATTCAATTATAAATACTGCATTCTGTCAACAGCTAAGGGTAACCCTGGTATTTATTATTTGAAAGAATTTTGTTCAATTTTAAGGTATGACTAGAGGCTTTGGACCCTTCAGCCCTAGGGTTTCAGTTTCCAATTTTTGCAGCTAAAATGACTTGAAGTTGTAAAAAGGGTCTTTGAAAGAAATTAGCTTGAATCCCCATCCTCAATAGAACCTCAATTTTCTTAATATTTATTTTGTGTGATCTCTTGAAGAAAAAAAATAATTAGAGCAAGTTATTAAGTATGTTGATTCTCCAAGGATGAATCCAGGATATGTCTTTGTACTCTCATGTCATCCAGTATTTGTGTATTTTTTTCTCTCATATTCCCATTTATAAATATTTCTTATTTAAAAAAAAATAAATAAATAAGTCACTCCACCTTGTTATGTTAATTTAAAAAGTTGTCCATATAATTTTGAAGCGATATGAGCAAAAATAAATCGATAAAAATAACCTATTGCAGATTTATTAAGAACAGGTGCGTGTGGTGGATTTTGATCCGCTCCCGATTAAAACAAAAATGGCGTCGTAGAGCAGACGCTTCGTACTCGTCGTAATTTTAGTGAAATACTGCAAGTAGAAATATTATCTTGGATAATTTCGTTTAGTATCATTGCATGCAGGAAAATAATTATTTGATTTTCACCAAAACATGACTGATTCTGTCAGGAAAGTGGAAATCTAGTCGAAAATTCTATGGCATGTCCTGTCGCACGACTGCTCTTTTGTGTGTTTTCAAAGACCTGAAATATCACCGGTGAGTTTCTTAATTCTAAACAACTATTTCTTTCTCGGAGACGATTGGTGGTTTGAAAAAATTGTGTAATTTATGTATCTTGCGAAAAAATTTCAAATAACTACCGTGTGACATATTTTTAAACGTAAAAACGTAATTCGGCAATAATGGGTACTGTGACGTTATGCGCCGCTGGTAAACATTTGGCAGCATAAAAAATTAAGCAATAGAAGTGCCATCTTGATCCAGGGAGCCTGGGAAAAATAGTACCCCCGGAGAAAGCAATCTATGCAAAATTATGCTGAACGATAGTCACAAGCAGGATACACAAGGTTAGACACTTCGCCTCCACATACTGAGAGACTCTTCAATCACCATAAAAGGCAAGAGTTCCAGGCCATGACGCTGCAAAGAGAAATTAAGAAACCGAAAACGAGAGAAACACAACTTCCTAAGCACTGTACTACAATATACATGTATATTTTATCATAAAAGAACGAAGTTACTTATTAGAAAATGAGAAATTGACTTCTTTGATCTAATAAATTGTTAACAACTTATTTTACACGACATACAAATTCATGGATCTGGGGAGGGGAGGGTGGGTATTGAAAAATAAGTCCGTCTGCTCTCGACCAGCTTGGAAATGAAAAGGAATATTCTAGATGACATGCGCAAACTACAGGAAGACCAATCAGCATACCAAACCCGAGTTAAATTATACATGCAAGAGTTATGCATCTTTGCATATGACTGCACAAAATAACCAGGTTTATCCACATGAGATAAACCTCATTATTTAGTGACGGTTTCAATATAAAAACACGTCGGACAGAAACATTGATCAGAAAACCCTTAAATAAAGGTACCAAACACTTTTTACTATAAATGAATAACGAAAAATGTGTTTTGGCGTGCTTGTCATGGCCATTTAATAGATATATAAAATATATCATAAAATTACATATAATGAGAGATGTATGCGCCGCTGGTAAACATTTGGCAGCATAAAAAATTAAGCAATAGAAGTGCCATCTTGATCCAGGGAGCCTGGAAAAAACAGTACCCCCCGGAGAAAGCAATCTATGCAAAATTATGCTGAACGATAGTCACAAGCAGGATACACAAGGTTAGACACTTCGCCTCCACATACTGAGAGACTCTTCAATCACCATAAAAGGCAAGAGTTCCAGGCCATGACGCTGCAAAGAGAAATTAAGAAACCGAAAACGAGAGAAACACAACTTCCTAAGCACTGTACTACAATATACATGTATATTTTATCATAAAAGAACGAAGTTACTTATTAGAAAATGAGAAATTGACTTCTTTGATCTAATAAATTGTTAACAACTTATTTTACACGACATACAAATTCATGGATCTGGGGAGGGGAGGGTGGGTATTGAAAAATAAGTCCGTCTGCTCTCGACCAGCTTGGAAATGAAAAGGAATATTCTAGATGACATGCGCAAACTACAGGAAGACCAATCAGCATACCAAACCCGAGTTAAATTATACATGCAAGAGTTATGCATCTTTGCATATGACTGCACAAAATAACCAGGTTTATCCACATGAGATAAACCTCATTATTTAGTGACGGTTTCAATATAAAAACACGTCGGACAGAAACATTGATCAGAAAACCCTTAAATAAAGGTACCAAACACTTTTTACTATAAATGAATAACGAAAATTGTTTTTGGCGTGCTTGTCATGGCCATTTAATAGATATAAAATATATCATAAAAATACAGTTAATGAACAGATGTACTGAGTATGCGCCGCTGGTAAACGTTTTGCAGCATAAGAATAAAGCAATAGATGTGCCATCTTGACCCAGGGAGCCTGGAAAAAACAGTACCCCCCGGAGAAAGCAATCTATGCAAAATTATGCCAAATGGGTCAAAGGACATAGGCCCCATGCCTAGTGTCCCGAGACCCATCCGCCACAACCAAGATAAGGCGGTAATTTTGCAGCCCCAAATCAAAACAAAAAATAATATATATGGAAGCACAGATTGTGCTTAAAAATATTTGATATGCAGATAATTTTTCGGGTACAGATGGTACCATTTTCTCTATCAATATATAACAAAGCACAGATGGCGCTTTAAAATATTTTGAAATGCAGATAAACTTTTGGTACAGATGGCACCACTTTCTTTATATTAATAAATATGTAAGCACAGATAATGCTCCAAAACGCTAAAACTGCAAAAACAAATACTAGATGTCACTACAATTTGCACCACACTAAATATTAATAGATTGAATTCTCAAACTGATATTCTTAGTGACAATAACACTAACAAAATAAGGACATGACAAGCATAAACAACTGAACCAAAATTTCTCCTCCTATTTTGAAATTTACATTTTGGATATGTACTCTGTATAGAGATTGGTCATTTTTGCATTAAGGAAATGTTGGTGAAGAAAAGTTACACCTAATAAAATGATGCAATGC